GTTCTTATTTTATATACATTATATTCACATATAAACATATATTTTGTACATATAAGAACATTTGTATATAGCCTCTTATAAACTTGTAATTTATCTTCAATGAAATATTAGCTAACCCAAAAGCTGAAAAAATGAAGCTGCTTTAGTTGCATAAGAGGAGGATGGAGTAGAGTACAAGCCTTTTCCGATTTTAGACTGTACTCTCTATCAAATAGTAGTTGTCTCTGGGAGTGGAGCTCCAACCTAAAATTGTTACCGGTCATTTGCACCTTGATTAATAGATATGAATGAAGGAAAAGAGAACAAAAAAAGAGCAGAACATTGCAGCCTGGAAGTGGGCAAGGAAAGAAGAAAGAGCTGACGGAAACCGATTGACTTTAGGCTCAGGGCTATTCAGGTAAAACCTATAAATACCCAGCTTAAATAGTGTTCATAAGAATTAGGATGCAATAACTAAGTTCTCTACACCCGATTGCCCAGGCTTCAATATTAGAGTTCTTAACTGAAATTATTATGTTTCACTGTTTCGAAAGTTTGAACTATAATTTTCAGTAGCTGAGTCTCTAGATTTTCACATTCATATCACTGCGCTTCTTAAAACATGAATAACAAGTGAGAGCTATTTTTCTAGACTTTCCATAGCTTATGCATAGTGATAACCCTCCCTCGATTTGCTCCCATATTTTTTTAAGATGGGGCCGTTGTTAGGGCTGGCTGCATTCGAAGGTGGCAGGTCTTCGTATTTCCTTTGTGTAAAACCAACTGGACAAATCTGAAACCTGGACAGCACAAGGCTCCGAGTAAGCCTTGATAGCTAATCAATAAGAGCAGACAGGGTTGCCATGCCTGGTTGATCAGTGAAAGCTATCACAGCATGGAAAAGGAAAACAAGGTATCATGGTTGGTGCCTCTATATAGTGCACACCAGTAAGCTCTTTTGCTGGAAACATCTCCCTATTTTCTCTGAATGGACTAGAACTGACTGTTCTGTCTTTCATTAACGATTTTATACAGGCAATGCTTTTGTTTTTCGATGAAAAGGCAAAGATTCATTCGCATATATATTACTTTCTTCTCTGATTACCTGAACAATGATGTAAAGATGAAGATTTAGAATTCTATTCAGACTATTGTCAAATAATCATCATTATTTTCATTCAGGAGTAACATCATTTAATGCCAAAAATATTTTCTCCCTATTTCGAAAACATCCTTTGTGGCCTTAACATTACCAGAAATTTTTTGATCATAAAAAAGAAATATTTATGTGCTTTAATCATATATAACTATTGAATTCTTGTGAAACAAACATCTTGTGAAATTTCAAGTTTTTTTTCATTTAATCATGGCAAAAAGCAAGGAAAGATCTTTGAACTAGTGCTTGCCATCACTATGTGCATTTTAAAGTACATTTTTGTGTAAGAATACCCAAAAAGTGATGTTTCTATCCATCATCCCCATCCTAAAAGTGTTTGCCTCACTCTGCCTAAAAATAGAAACCAATTCTAACAGTCTTATTTGAATAAGTTGGAGATTTGAAAAATTAAAATCTTTGGAAAATTCAAGTTTATGATATGGACTACCATATTTTCTAAAAGAACACAAAAAGGTAAATTAACCACAAAGTGACGATAAAAAGTATGTTGTTTCTACTATTATATTTCATCTGTAAAATTCAACAGGAAGGTGGCTTAATCTGTTTAACCTGAGATTTGTTTAACTATAAATATTTTTGAAGAGATGGGTAAAAAAAGAAGTATGAGTTTTCAATGAGAAAATGCTCTCTACACTTTATGGATATAAGTTATGACTATGAGTTGAAAAGTAAAAATAACATAGATAATAAATTCCATATTATAATAACAAAGTATATATTATATAAATAATTCAATTTATTCTGCTGAATCAAAGTCCTAGAATCAGTTTATTATTGGCTAAAGAAATGAGGAGTAGATGTTTCTATCTCTAATGGATAATTGGTTGGTTATGTGGTTGTCAACACTGAATCACAATATAAAGCAACTCAAAAAAGAATTGAGATGATTAAATCTCTGATAAAATTGTTTACAAAAAGGCTGATTTGAAGTAATTCTACCCAAAAGTGTATTAAGAAAGTAGACAATGGATAAACTTTTATTTGATTTGTTTCACTAAGATATTGGGCGATCTAGATCCCCTCTTGCTCAGAAAAGCTATCTTCATTGTTCAATTTTAGCAGCTACTGATTTAACTAACCTAAAATCTCTAATTTTGATCCTTTAAATTCTTAGTTAAAATAAAGCAAGTCCTAAAACGGAGAAGGAAAAACATATTCCCAAGAAAAGAGAGTGCTCTCAGAGATTAAATATACACCAGTTATTTGCATCTACAAATTTTGTGGACCTTGTTAATAATGTGGGTAAATGTTAGTGATGAGCAGATCAAATGAATGTCATGTTGCTACTAAGCTTGCAAATTTTAAGATTTCTTAAGTCTTTTCAGTTTGGGGTACATCGAGATACCACGTTTTGCTTTTTATAGGCATTCTTTTAAAGAACAGTGAAATTACATATTTTGGCAAATCTTTTAGTTGCTTTTTTTTGAGAAAATTGTATTGTCAGAAATACAAATACTGATCTCTTCAGAAGAAACTATCTTTCTTACTTTGCAGCTGAATACCCTGAAAAGGCAATCAGTGAGAAAAGACTAGCGGCTGAGATATCACCATTAATTTATAGGGCGTGGTTCCCTTTATTTATATGGCACCACATATGGTATTGCATAGGCACCACATGGCACATTTCTTGCTGTTCTTATAAATCAGCGGTTTTGTTTTTCTTGTTGATGGTGGTGGTAGTATATATATGTGTATGTTTTGATGGTGGGGCTAGGAATCACTGTGGTGTGTTAAAGCAATAGTAGAATCCAAAAGACGTTGAATGTAGGCCAAAATAACATCTCAGTCCCTTTTCTCCACATGATAGGCATTTTAAAAGCAATGTTTTAAATAGGAATGCATGTCAGGATAACTAGAAGATCAGCCAATTTTGGAGTCAGTTATTTGAGGTAAAATAACATATGGAACACTTTACTTCAGTCCTAAGTTATGAAGGAAAAGTATGCTATGCTCAGTAATAAATAGCTTATGGAAAGTGTTATCTTTAATATTTCCAATAGTTTTCTAGAGTTTTATGGTTTTTCCCTTTTTGTCAAACCTTTATAGCTCAAAAACTTTACAACTAAAATTTATGGAAAAATCCATGTAATTGCTATTGATTTTATTCATAGTCAATCAATATAAATATGAATCTCTTTTGGAAGTGTTCAGGAAAAATAGTGACCAGAACAAATAGAAAGGAGAAAGCTATTTTACTTTTAAAGATTTTTTTTTTATTATAAATTCCAGCTTCTATTCGACAAATTATTTTCACCCCAGGTAACACAGTTATAGCACTTTCACTTCTATTCTCTTTAATTGAAGACAATTAGAATTCATATTTTACTTGTACTTTTCATCTTCTTCATATCAATCATACCTAACTAAAAATGTACATTAGAGTAAGATTTAAAAAAAAAAAAATCATGTCCTGCATCCAGCCCCAAAAGAATTCAGATTCAGTAAGCTGAAAATGTCTTTTAAAAAGGGCACAGGTGACTTGAAAGCATAATTATAGTTAAGAAGCACTATGTCTTGATCTTAAATTTTCTGAGATTACATACCCATTTGAAGATTCGATGAAAAAAGTACCTTCTGCCTAAAGAAATACTCATAAACACAGACCCATGATAATGTAAATATACTTTCATAAAATTGCATCGTAAGACTTCATTGCACTAAGATATTAGACTCCCTCATATTATGACTCTAACACCTAATAGTGAATTTACTTTTCTCTTCTCCTTTAATTTCATTCTGAGCTATCAGCCCTCCTGTAACACTCCCCAGCCTCCCTTCCACTTGAAGATACGTAATATTTGGCTATGTTACAGGTAGGTGCAAGTTTAGACCAGAGTTTACAGAATTAGTGGAAAATAATACAAAAACAAGTAGACTCAAATTTTAGAATACAGAGAAAGATGCTTCATACCCATTGATTGATTAAATACTACACTGTCTGGGAAAGGGCAGATAAGGTGTCTCCCTGAGAAAGGAGAGAAAATGCAGGAAAGATGAATAGTTTTTACTCTACTTACAATGGTGCACTGGCTTACTACTAAAAATAAGGTAGATTCTTGGTGAATACATGCTGAAAGAAACTAATGAATAAGTAGCTAAAGAACTAAATGAAAGAAGAAGAAAGGAGATACTTTATTTATAACCCAGTTTCCTCATCTGCCAAGTGAGGGCATTAGAAGCAGTTTATGTTCTCTTTCTTTTCAAATATCATCTTCTATTTTCCATATTATCTTCTATTCACTCTGTGAATAGAAAGGTGGGCACCTACTGTCTAGTGGAAAGCAGATATCCAAACTGTAGATTGAGCCCTTGTGGAAAGAGAGACAGCAAAGAAAAATGATACCATTTGGGAATGTATTATCATGATAAGCTAAAGGCTGGCAGGTATACTATTTGCTATAAACTTTTTAATATTGGGGTAGCTTATAGAAAATATTGCTTCAACACAAAGATAAACAAAGTTTCTATTATGTCAGCTTCTGAAATAATGAAACAGATGTATGTGACTTCATATAAAACACTGTCCAAAATAAATTATTCATTGCAATAAGATTCAGAAGAAAGAATATTAAATGCTGTCATTTATGTAATGAATATACGTAGAGCATCTCTGGAAGGATACAGAAGAAACTGGTAATGGTGGTTGTCTTCAAGTGTGGGAAATAGTGGCTTGAAAAAATTTTGGAAAGAAAATTTACTTTACACTGAATTGTTATAGTTTTTGAGTTTTATATAATTTATATGTATCAATCATCTAGAAAATATTTTTTAAAATATTTAAAAATCTAATAGAAATTAAGACTGAAAAGCAGGAAAATTAAAATCTATAAAACAAAAATCTATAAAAGTTTTTAAAGTGATACAAAATATATTGGTAAATATGTAAAAACAGAAAACTAAAAGTTTTAGTCACTTGTGGAATTATATTTTAAATGCTGTGATGCAGTCTGTTAATATAGGTCTACAGCGGACCAAGAATATTTGGCCAAAATAAATCAATAGATACTGTGTACCTTCTACCTCTCCTATTTTGTTGCTTTTATTTATCATTATTTTTAAAACTATACATTTAAAAAATGTAACTTATATAGTGATAGAACAGTTATAAATGAAAGTCTTTTAATGAGATGGCACTCAGAAGAGTTCTACTGCTTCATCCAATTTTGTATATACAACAGTTTCATAAAAATCATAATTTTTATACTTCAGAGACAATACTGACCCAGCAAACTGTCAACTGTACACATGGTTTCCTGGGAGATTATTTCAAGAATCATGAGACTACATTAAACAACATTTAACCATAATACTCTATGTTGCCTTTGTCTCTAAAGTGGTGGTAACTCAGTTAATTAATCTATTAATTCCACTTGGAATGTGATGTTTAATTATTATGACATGCCTAAGTGCTGACTGAAATGCAAGATACTACAGTTCAGGTGATACAAGAAAAATCAATGTGGAAAGCAAATATAATTTTTATACTTTATTTGTAGTTTAAAATGTTATACCATACAATTTTAATGATCACTTAAAAAAGGATTTATATTTGCATAAAACAGAAGCAAAACAGAAAGATATGAAGTAAAATACCACCTTGTTTCGAGTTTTCATATCAATAGTTAGAGTACTAATATACACCTATATACATTGTAAGTATATTATATAAATATACTATGAGTAATCTTGAATCCACAATAAATATCAAGTAGATTTTTAGGCACACGGCATAGAAAAATGCAGAACCTGCATAATTCTTGAGAGTGCTGAGTGACTCATTCCTAGATTGTTTTCACACATGTATTTTACACAAAGCATCAGCCATTACACACATGATCCCCAGTCACCTCTGAATCTAACTTTTCATCTCAACATTAATGTCTTTTTATTCTTTGATACTATTGCTCTATACAGCTTTTACATAAGAAAATATTTTGCAGTCTTCTTCAACTAATTGCCTAAGAAGATATCAGTACTACCAAAATAAGTAGTCTATCTACACAATATAATCATGGAAATGTGCTGAGAGGCACCAGTTTATACAACTGAACATTTTAATATTGGGAGTCACCCTGAAGGCAAACTTACACATTTTGAAGTACACCATTTTGAATTGCCAATACCATTACATCCAGAAATTATTAGAAACTGAGGTAACACCTGATTTTTTGGAGATAGAAATACTTGAGAAAACACCGAAAGGGTTTTCAAAAATTCTGATGAACATGAACCTCAGTCATTGTAGGCTTTGTCTGAAACTCTTTCTGTGCAAATGTAAACCAAAGAATCCAAAGGAATACTCTAGCTTAATTTACATATACTGTTAGGGTTAAAGATCACAGCCATGGATAACCTGAGATCGCCCTCTGATAAGTGAAGCTTATTGCTTCTCTTTCTCTTTATTGAGCTAATGTTCATTGATAAAAATGAACCAAATAAAGCCCACTGATTTTTTCCCCAGCTACAAGTCAGATTCTGGCATATCTGGCATATCTGGCATATCTGCCATCAAATACCCTATTCCATATCGTCCGTTGGGAGCAGTATCCAGACTTGGTGATCCACTCTGTTTCCGATAAATATTTTTACCAAAATTTGGAGATGACATCTCGCTTGATATCTTTCCATGAATGAGGCTTGCATCATCTCCCTCTAAGTTTACAGGCTCCTTCAGGACCCTTCCTCTTTTATATGTCACAGAGGCTAAATTACCAGAGCTATCGTCTATAAGGTTGCAGCGTCGAATGATGAAGACAACTGGGATGGGGAGTATTGCTAGGACCACAAGAGAGAAACAGACAACCATTCCCCATGTTGGATAGCTCAAAAATTCCTCAGATGCCTGTTAAAGCCAAAAAAAAAAGTTATTAATAACCTATTTCTCCCTGCAAATATTGTATCTGTCTCAAGTTTGTAAGCAAAGATTCTGGACTAGTCTTGTGACTTGCTTTGTCCAATAGGATGCTGTGGAAGTGACATTAAGCAATTTTCAAAGGTAGGCCTTAAAGGTCTTGCAATTTCTTCTGTTTTATAGAATGTTGCCCTGAGTCCATATTGCTTGGAAGAAGCCACGAATGAGAAATCATAGAGAGACATCAGCTCTCCAAGTTCAATCAACCTCATGTGTTAGCTCAGGCAAGAGCAAGAGAATAATTGCCCAGTTCACCCACAGAACCCAAGAAATCATAAATCAGCACTGCCTTCCAACATTACATTTTGGAGTAGTTTGTTATTAACCAATAGATACCTGTTACATATGCTCTACTAACTTTCTACAATACTAAATCTAAATTTTGAGGCATCTCTGGGCCGAAGGGTTTGGGCAAGTGATAACAAATTTGTTTATGCCCCATTTATGAATTTAGTTTTTATTATATAGAATTACTGACCATAGGATAAAGATCAGAGGTATCTCTGAAAAGTAAGCACTCTAATTTTCTAGTGGTTAATATATATCTTATGATTGCATTATTATGTGGGTAATGCAGCTTGAGAGCAGAATTGAAACAATCATTTCTAATACAAACCAGTTATAACAAAACTTTACTTCAACAGTTACTTAAATTATGTGTACATGACTAACACATATTCTCATTGTTATAGAGAATCTGGAATACAATTTAATAAGTTTATATAGGAAAAATATTTCTAGTGGTTTGAGCAACATGTTTTCCAGTAGAGGCCCAATAATTATTGGATAAAGCTACCTTACTGAGAACCAAACTAGTGTTTCTCATGTATTAAAAAAAATCTACAATGTATAAAAAAATCATGTGTTTGCGACCAAATAGAACATAAATCTCAAGATCCCTGCAAAAATGCACCACCATTCATTAAATAGCAGAATATGCTGTGAAGAAAGCAAAATACAAAAACTTCTCAAATGGCATTTTATGTATAGTTTATCTAAATTTTTAATTTGTATTTTACCTTATCTTCAATCCATGCATTATAGCCAGGAGGACTTAATCCCATATTCACAACACTAGATATTAGCAGTGATAATAGCATTAGAGGAGACATATATTTCCACATATAGTAGTAATATCTGTTGGGAGCAAAGCCCAGCATATCTCTCAGGTCTTCCATAAACCTAAACAAAAAGAAAGTAATTATTCCACAAGCTTATGCAATACCTTAAAAATGTGCATTATAGCAATCGTCTGATAGAGGTCTAGACATACCTCGTGATATTTTATACTGAATCAAAAAGTCATATCAGAAGATGACTTATAAATTAAGAACATATATAAAGTAAAATGGAAGCAGTTAATTACATACAGTAATTTTCATTTAATGAAAGCCCCCTTAAGCCAATTACTGAAAAGTCTCATCTTACAGATGACTTTCTACTCTATGAACACAGTATTTGCAACACATTAAAAATCCTTGTCTCTTTACTTAGCAATAATTAATTAATATCATCCAATATCCAATCTCTGTTTATATTATCTGAACTCTCATTTCTTTTTATAGCCTGTTTGTTTGAACTGAAAGGTCAATACGTTGCTACTGGTTAGTGTGTTCCCAAGCCCATTTTTTCATCACTAGGTTCCTACTACAACTCTTTTTGTTTCTTCCAATATTTTGCTGAATTGGCTGTGTACCCTACACTGTAGTTTCCCAGAGTCTGGTTTTTGCTGATTGCATCCCCACAGTGTTGCATCATAAGTGCATCTGCTCCTCCTATTTCCTGTAAATTAGTACTTAAGCCTAGTATTGATTAGACTTTTTTAAGTCAGGTTATTGAGGTATTATTTACATGAAATAAAATTCACTCTTTTTAGGTGTATGATGTTAACACTGTCAGAGCATATGGTCATTACACAGTAAGTAGTCTATCTCCCTTAATACTTACCTAGAGGTAAATATTTACTGTCCACCCACCAGTCCCTGTACTGATATTTCTGTAGATATTTTGGTTGTCTAAAGCTAGTTCTCTAGTAAAGTCTTCAAAGAGAGATCGTAAATGACTATACTCCTTAATTTCTTGCATGTTTGTAATTGTTTGCCTAAGGTCACTATACTTGAATGTCAGTTTGGCTAGATTTAAAATCAGTGGCTTTTTTCCCCCTTAAGAATCATAAATATATCTAACTACGTAATATTGTTCCAAAAAAGTTTGTGAACTATCAGGTTTTTCTATGATAATTTTTCTGATAAAAATAAATAATTTTGCTTGTTTTATTTGTACTGTTTTTGTCTTGAGGTAGTATCTATACTATGTCCTAGCATTGGCCATTATGTTTACTTTTCTAAGTATACCATGTGCCCTTTCAACATTCAAGTTGCCATGTATTTCCAGCAAGTTTCTTGAATTATAAATTTTAGTACTTGTTCTGGCCACTGCATTGAGACCTTCATCATATGTAGGTTGAACCATCTTTGCTTAATTCCTATTTCTAGTCCTTTTCTTAAATCCTTCATTATTTCTTCTTGGTTTTAAAAGCATTCCTCCCTTCTAGATCCTAATTCTTGTGGAAATAGTCATTGTGCTTATTGTTTTTGTGTTCCTTTTCATCTGATCTTCATTTCTGAAGTATTTTTCTTTTACTCAAAATGATTTCCTAAGTTCTACCACCTCTGTCTTAAAATCTTCCTTTCTTTAATTATCACATTTCTTGATTTTTAAATAGTTCATATATGCTGTCTTTTTGTGGCTTCTATCATTTTTGAAACTCTATTTAAACTCATTTTGAAATATTCTTGGTTTTCCATTTATTTTGCTTGTGTGCTTTTGTTGCTTGCAGGCATATTATTCTGCCCATTTCCTCTTTAAAAAAATAATTTCTTAAAATTTTACTACATTTAAATGAAATAAATTTTCCTGAATTTTAAGAGAGAGGGATGGGCACTTCCTATTTCTGCAAAGTAATCTAAAATTGGCCTTATAGTTTCTCAATTCTACGTCCTCTGCTCTCCTCCTCATATTTATTTGGACTTCCTTTTCTGTTGCTCCTATTGTCTCTCTCTTGCTCAATTCAGGTTTTGCTCCCATCACTTTCTCTTCAGTGAAGAGCTTTATCTTGCAAGAGAACTGTGATTTCTTCAACAGTTTTTAGAGACCAAACTGCTCTCGAACTGATGATTTTATTGCAGTTTGATCTCTCTGCATTCCTTCAAATGACATCAAGGATCCTATAAAATTTCTCTCAGTTTAGGTCACTGTCTTCAGATTAGCCTGCCACACTTTTCAGAGAGAATCTGGGGATGGTTAGGGAGCTGTCAGATGCCCAGCTGCACATCATCTGCCATCTCCTGCACAAATATAATACCACACAGATCTTGTGGCTGTTAATGGTTTGTCCCTATCTTCTCATATTTGAGAGTTCACAGGAATACTTTCTTGTCAATGTTAATGGGTATTTGGCTTTGCTATTTTAGTTATTCTTTTTCTCTTTCTTCTTTTTTTTAAAAAAGAGATTTGAGGAGATAAAAAAACTATGCTGCCATTACTTTCAGCTTCACAGAATCCTCCTCATTTTCTCTCATTCACATTTCTCCCTAATCTCTAACTTGCTATGCTTCAATATATCTTTTCTGCATTTGAATTTTCTGTCTCAAAAGTTTAGGCTTCGATTGCCTTCTCTCAACCCTGTCTCTGGGAATGCAGGTAAAAGTGGCAGAAAACACAGAGAAGAACTGAGTTCATGAAACTATTGAAAGCAAACAGAAAGAATATAAGTTTGCTACACAAATATATAAAACAAAACAAAACAAAACAAACAAACAAACAAACAAAAAAGAAAGAATATAAGTGTAATTAAATGAGAGCATTTTAGGCATGAGAATTCCAATCCTGCTAAGCCAAAATAAGAGCTTTGGAAACTAAGAGACTCAGTTTTAAATCACAGCTCTGTCATTTTTAATATATATCTTAGTCTCTCTGAGCTTTGTTTTTGGCATTTTCAAAAAAGATAATAGCTATTTTGGAGGGTTATTGTTAGGCTCATAGACAATGTATGTAGAGCACACTACTTTACATATAGTAGGAATTTAATAATGTAGTTATTATTAGTATTATTCTTCCTGTTCTTATAACTATTATTTAAGAACACTACTAAAAAGAGATGCTTTCTACTATGCTTATTGTAAATGATAAACTGTCTAAATGGAAATCTAAATTATAATATTAATGGTCCACAGATCAGTCCAATAACAATATCAAATTCCAACACGCTGAGGTTAGAAAGTTGGGAGTAGCTTGGTAGAATGTAGACATAACTAGTTTTGAAATTAAGGTCTAAGTTAAAGGCCTAGCTCTGCAACTAGCATACCGGATCTTCCCGTACAAGTAGGGCCAATTTTCTATTGATATGAGTGTTATTAGTTACCTCTGAGTATTTTTATAAAGGTTAAGAATTAATGTATGTCTGACAGCTATTGCTACTATTACTATCTAGTACATGACTATAATGTGTAAGATTCCCTACCCTTCCCTATCTGGAGCTTTTGACAATAAAAACATTCTCTAAGCTTTGTCACAAAGCTCATTCAATACCAGTAACGTTCTCTGTGTTGTTTAAGAGGACTCTGTTCTTCTCTCAATGCACTCATTTCTACTTTAAACAGACTTCTAATGAGCTTGTTGATTTTATTGCTTCAGTCCATATATGCTAACCAGAGATAATAGCTTTAAAAAATATTGGACATGGCCTCCAGAGACTTTTTTCTTGAGATTATGCTAATGCTTCATTTCATGCCAAGTATATATACTTTTCCCATCCAATAGGTATGTAATTCAGAGGTTTAGGCTTCTAGTGAATTCAAGTAATGATTTCATATAAAAATAAAATTTATGTATAGCAAATGCCATATATATTTCAGAGCAGGATATATCATTTCCTAAAATTGGCCCACTAAATAAGTCATTAAGTAGCATAATAAAATAAAATTCCTGCCATAAAACAGGTTAAAAAAGTAAGTAGGAGCAGAGGCTTTAGAGTTAAGCACAAATGGCTATGAATCCCAGGTCTGTCTCTGTCCAGGTGTGATGAGTGAGTCACTTGATGTCTAAATAAACCTGAGTTTTCTCATCTGTGAAATGTAGTTAACAACAAAACAACTTAACAGGGTTCTTGGAACATAGCCAATATTCACTAGCTCTTAGAAGTCATAATTTCGTAATCAGAATTAAATCAAAGCTCCAGAATCCTAGAATATATTACCAGGTATGCAATTCTGTCTAGTCACCTAATAGGGGAATACACTTTATTAAAATTGTTGAGTAAAGAAAAAACTTGCAAAAGATTTGATTTTGTGGTATTTTTCCCTCTAGTCATTTCCTTCTTCTTCTAAATGAAATAGATATTGGTAACCCTGTTTCCAAAATAGAGTCAAAAAATGAATACATAAAAGTAAATATACTTACTTATCTATGCCATAGACAAAGGATACAGCAATATTCTCCAAAATGACTACAATTAGTAGAGGCAATGAAGCAGAATAATCATCAAACATTGTAACAAAGTAATTTCCAGAGCGTTGCACAAATATCAGGCCAATACAAAATGCTACAAGACAATAGATAACTGTACAAAAGAAATAAATAAAAAATCAAGCCTTTATTCAGAATCAAGTCTTCTAAACTTCATTATGAATTATTATATTCAACATTTTTTTCACTTTTATAACTTGTCAAGGATTTAAATAGGCAATATCCTTCCCTGATACTGTGGAATATGACATATCAGGAGTTAATTATCTGATTTAGCCCCAGATTTAATATAAATTCATTTTAAGATGGTAACTTGACTCATCTCCTCAAGTCTATAAAAACTTATTTAGAGAGCACAAATAATAAATGAGGCAAAACTGAGAATACTTAAAGAGTATAAATCTTTATGCCCTTCTCTTATTAATACCAAAGCAACCTTCACAGGCAGCACATGTTCATGGGTCATTTCTAATTTTAATAGTGTTTTATAATTTTGGAAGCTATATTAAGTTTTGAATTAATAATGAGACTAATACAGCATATATCATGATACATATATATTTTTATGTTTGACTGAAATATGGTTACTTTTAAAGCATAACTAAAAAAAAAAATCTTAGATCAGAACTTGCCATAGCACCAACCTAAATTTGTATCTTGATATTGCCTGAACAGATTAGTTGGGAATACATTATGACAGCGTTGAGCAATCTGACTATCCAAGTAACTAAGAAGAACCATTTAAATGGAGTTTCTGCAGTAAGGTCCATGGAAGATACAGAAACTTCTGACCATTTTATGTGAAAACTTAGATTTCTGGAATCCATATAATATTTCTATAGTTTTACTAGACTTTTTATTCTCTCATGTACATTTATAGGGACCCTTAAAAATAAAAGATGACTGTGTTTTATTTCTCAACCACCTTTTAGCAGAAGTGAGTAAAAGTGAAAGAAGTAGAACAGGTAACAGAAGTTCAGGGAGGGAGAAAACAGATATCCCTGGGTTCAGATATGGGGTTCCCCTAACAATCTTAATATGTATGAGTTAAATTAAGTCATTACCTCCATCTCTTATTTAGTGATATGAGTTACATCATACATAAACAAATATTACATATAAACATATAATGCAGAAATGAAAAAGTAACATGTACTTGGAGTCTATCACATATAAATGTCACAGTATATTGTACTTAAAGTCTCAGGATGGCAGTAGCAGAGCTGAATATGAACCATAGTCACTTTTGCCTTCTAATTACACTATAAAATCACGTAAATATGAAGAGAGTGTATTCTAGGTGGTACGAACAGTAAGAGTTTCACTGGAGATGGGAGAGGAAAAGATGATGTACTATCAAAGAAGACAAAAGCACATCTTACAAAGGTAATGGGGGGACATTTCGTATGGATAAAATATAACTTGAAATATAGGTTTGATCCCAAAAAACAGGTAATGGGGGAAGAGAGTACATTCTCCTTTGCTCTGACTAAATAGATCTTCTGGTAGGAGCCAGCAAACACTACCCCTGTGTTTTTCCCATCTACGCTGTTGCTTTTCCCTTAATTTTTGCAAGCCCTCTTATCTCAGGAGGGTTTGGATATAGGGCAAAGATGAAGAAAGCAGCAAAAATGACTGTTATTTGCCTGTATGTCAGGCAGGATATTGATAGCCATAAATGAAATAGAAACTCCAGAAGTAAAGACTGCCTTTTGGGAGAAGATAAAGAAGTTTCTCATTTACGTTTAGCTGAGTTGAGGATATTTAGTATAAATATTTAACAAACTGCTGAAATTATTTTACACAAGCACTCACACTTAGTAGAGCAGTAAGTGATAAAGGTATATATTTGAGAGTTATTTACATGTAAATTAGTACTAAATTTTTCAGAGCTAAAAACAGAGCCTTGGTGACCTCGTTCACCACTGCCCAGCATTCGAAGTCACCTAGATTTTTTTTGTCCAATTCATTTTTGCCTCTCTTACCAACACTGTTCCTGTACTCTGGTCTGTCAGTCTTCCTTACTGCTCCCTTTATCTCTATTTATATATGCTTACCAAATCCATCCTCCGATCTCTGAGAAGATCCTTCCCCTTTTCAATTCAACTTCCATCTCTTTTACTGATAGTTTCATATATGTATTATGCTCTCTATCAGTCTATTACATGGTACAAGTCTTATCTATGCAACCTATTTTTAATTATCAGTATTATTATTTTTGGAGAAGAGGCTCTCCTATATCTCTCTGTACCTCTGTTATAATTTATATCCTTTATGTACCTCAAATGCAAGATTGATACAGTATAAAATTGACACTTTAACAAATGCTAGCATATTGGACTTATTAACAACCATAAATACAGATAAATTGTTTTATTATCTTTCCTACCTAAAGATATTAATTGCTAGTAGGCTACAATTGCTATTTTATATGAGAAGTAAATTTAGCTTTATCAATTTCAGCAATGCACCTTTTGAAAAGGAGAAATGAATCTGAACTATCTTGTTATAATTATTTGACTTGTATACAAAATTATACATGAACATTCTATGACTTTATTCTAGTGCCAGTAATTCATAATAATGATATTACTAATAATTAAGAGCAATATAATAATCATTAATAATTAATATAATCTATATTACATCTGTCCTGTGAGTACTATATAAATATAAAACATAATGTAACAAATAATAGCAATACATATTAATAGACATTAATAAAACCCCAAATATAACACTTTCCTTTTCCATTTCTGATCTCTCAGCAAGAGTAAAATGGCCTATATCAGTTCAACAAAAAGTTAAATACATAAAAACTCACCAGTAAAAATTTCTTTCCTCACTTTGAAAGTGTCCACAATAGGCGTGATGATCCCTTCAATGTTTCCAAACATGCTGCCCAGCCCTAGATTCACTAGCATGAGGAAGAACATCACTGACCAGAAGGGAGATGCAGGGAAATGTGTCATCGCTTCTGTAAAGGCAATAAAAGCTAAGCCAGTTCCTTGAACAGCCTATAAAATATACAAAATAGCAACATTAATACAGAGAAATATTAAGTGATTGCGATGTGTGTATATATATGTATGTGTGTGTATATATATGTGTATGTGTATATATATGTGTGTATGTATATATATATATCAGTGTGTGTGTGTGTGTGTGTGTATGTGTGTGTGTGTGTGTGTGTGTGTGTATCAGTTATAAAGAAAGGGGAAAATTCTGAGTTAATGCCTGGGAGTGACGAGAAATAAACATGCTAATATCTCATTGTCTCCTAAGAAAATATACCCTTAAACCAGCTTCAAGATGATTGTATTATTTCACAATGACAATAGAGAGACCAAAAGTAAAAAAACAACAACAACAACAAAAAACTTTTACAAACAAGTTAGTAATTAAGAATTCAAGATATTTATAGTAACAATGGTTTCATCCATAATTTCCTGTACGTGATGATTTATATTTAGTCTCAGCACAGTTAACTATCTTAAAGAAAATGATTAATGGCCAATTGCTCCATTGTATTTTCCTTTTTGGCAATACAGCAAGAAGGTGACAACCAATACAAGAATATTTATTAATGTTCACTTATTTTGTTATTAAAATACATGATAGTACCTAAGAAGAAGAAATTAATCATGACTTGTTGAGCACAATTGTTAAAATGTCCAAATATTATTCATGTGTCAAAACAATCTTGCAATATAAAAATAACAGGCATAATTCAAATTTTGTATTAAATATTATACCAGGACTAATTTCATTTTCTATGATAGAAATCACTTAATTTACATTCATATTTTAAATTACTGTGTCTTAACCAATGAAATTGCTTTTTTAAGTAAAGCAAACCTTTATGATTTAAGAACATATGTTCTCTGAAATAAAGAATGTGAATTTCGAACCAGCACAACCTTTCACAGGCATTTTTAAGCTTGCTTTTTTCTTTAAAAACATCTAGAGAAAATATATTTTAACTGAATGATAATTATTTATTGCTTAAACATAGCTTACTAACTTTATTTAGCTCATCTTCAATTTGACAGGAATTGAGATGAAGAGCAGGAAACTCTTCTTCTTTCACTTTTTGAATGATGTCATAAACTAAATGATAATCTTCTGCAGTAACAGCTGAAAAGTTGATGTGATGGGGAATAATATCCTGACTAATGTTGCCCATTTTCAAAAATGTTACGATCATTTTCGAATTTCTGAAAAATAGAACAACACATTAATGAATACTTATGGGTTTTAGGGGTATTTTTAATATAATTATGCCATTAAAAGCAAAAGGAAATTAATATCCATACTCTGCAATGCATTTCTCATTTACGACATTTGCTTTGAAGCCCAGAACTGCAAACACCACCAATGTTGCCAGGATAGAGGTAAAAAAATTGACGAAGCACACCAGGACAGCATCAAAGTGGCAGTTGTTGTCTCTCTTGTTGAAGCTTGAAAAGGCAATGACACCACCGAATCCCAGACTTAAGGCAAAGAACACCTGAGTAGCAGCTTCTCTCCAGATCTTGGGCTCCAGCATTATTTCAAGCTGTTTAAAAGTAAACATAATAGAAATCAGCTGCAAAATAATATTTCAGAATAATCTACATGGAATTACTTGTACTGTTTAATACACAGCATAATGATAGTTATGTTTAAATTGGGGAGATAATCTGTTCTTAAGTAGAAATAAACTTTTCATTTAAGCTTGAAAGAGTTGAACAATTTGTGCTTTGCATATTCACAGTTGTATTATTCATTTATATATTATTCTTTCATTCAAAAAGGCTTTCCTGAAAGCCTTTCCTTTGAAAATGGGAGAAATACAACGATATCATCTCTAAAACCCTTTCAGACGCAAATTTCCAAAGTTCTCAATCTGTGCTGAACGTATATTTCAAGTCGTACTGCTTTACATCTTAGAAAATTATCAAACCTTTAAATGGAACAATTCATATTAGCCATATCTGACACAGAACACAATAAACAGTTGAGTTTGATTTCAGTAACAGCATTGTTTACATTGGTATTGTATCTTTTTCCTTACCATTGTGTTGAAATCGCCTTTACTGGGAGCCATGTCAAACATAGGTAAGAACATGAGTTCCACAGTCAGTTTCAGATCTTGATTCTGTTAATCAATAATCTAAAAATAGTGCAACCTAGTCCGCTCTGAGTTTCAGCTTCCTCAACTGAAAGATGGGATAACAAGTGCTCAAAAATTGCTAGTATATGGATTATGGTGGCAGGCACATTGATAAGCACTTCATGTGGATTATCACATTTAGTCTTCACAACAATCCATGAAATTGTTGCTACTATTATCTAAACCTTAGAAAGGTTAAGGAACCCGCCTAAGGTTACATAGTTCTGGAGTGAAGCTGAAATATGAATACAGGTAGATTATAAAATTCATAGTCTCTCATATATTAAGATTTATTGTTCAAGTAAGTTATTATTATTGAAATGTACACAATATTTTATGAAACATAATAGTTATTATACTTATAATTTATGTACAATTAACTAAGATAATGCATGTCATATCACCATTGAACCTTACTGTTCTATGATTAATGCTGATCTACTAAAATACTCAATCAACTGTCTATCTCTACTTCACCCACTAGATGGCAGAAAGCACCTATTTACTAACTAAAGACATTCAGATCGCTGTACCTCCAATTCGGGAACTAATCTCTATTCACGGATTTGGAAATATTTAGTCTGTTTAGGCACTTTCTCCTTTATATAAACAATGTAAATTAGAAGTAATTAATAACTTCTTATTGGTATTATATTAACTATCACATCTTACAGTGACCTAATATAGAATCTTATCAACAGTCAATGAAAAGTGAGCTCAAAAATTAACTATATTTTAATAGCGATCCCTAGTCCTGGTTTAAAATGTTAATATAGGGGCCATATAAAAATGTCATATCAAAGGGTTTAAATTCTAAAATATCTCCTCAAATCAAATATTTAGAACTATGTCTCAAACAATTGCCAACTTAGAAAAAAGGTGATATGCCAGAAACCTACACCATAGAGCTAGTTGTTTTAAACTCAGAAAACTATTTTTCAATATTAAAAATATAAATAATTTTGATTATTACCTATGGCCCATTTGAAACTAATTTAAATGTTAATATAACTGAAATTTATGAATCTTAATAGTTATTCACTGTGGAGATTCAACAGTGCTAAATGTTAAACAGCACTTTCAAACTATTCAAGAAAACCAGATACCAATGTCGTCAGTTTTGCTATTAGAGAATGAATACTAAGTTGGAACCAGCTCAAAATCTTTTACACAGTATCAAGGCAGCTGCCAGGAGTGACAAAATTCTAATATCTTCTGCTCACATCTTACGGCATGATCATTCTTCAGGTAATTTCCAATTTCCGAACTAATTTTAAAATTATATCTTTATAACTCTATGTCCGCCTATGACAGTGGTAGTAAACTAATAGTGAGGTATAACTTCATTCAGTAAATAACCAAATACATATACACCTAAAAAATTGTTTTTGTTTCCTGTCAAATCAATATCAATACATATACACCTAAAAAATTGTTTTTGTTTCCTGTCAAATCAAGTCTACAAGGATTAATCAGGTTCATTGTGCCCAGTGTTAAGTTCAGCTCTAAGTTGAATGACAGAGCACTAGTTCTGAGCTATTAATGAAGCCTAATGAGAACTTTCCTGAAATGTATACATATTTATGAAAGTTACAGAACTTCCCAAACTCACTATGTAAATATTCTTGAAGGTACGAAATCTCAAAACAAAACAAAATGAGAAAACACTGATTTCCTCTGATATGGAATTTAGACAACAGTAGGGTTTTTAACCTGAGGCCATGGATTTTAGATGATCTGTTAACCTCCTGAGACATTAAACAAATTAATATGTTCATTTTTTTTCTGGTAAGACGATCCTATTATCATTTTTTTCAAAGGTGTCCCTGATACAAAAGGTTAAGAACCATTCAAATAGAGGAGGAAGATGAGTAAAGACTGAAAAGTTCTAAAATTTACAAGTGTAAAAATTGAAAGTTAACATAAAAGAGAAATTTTTAAAGTTTAAATAGTGATAGCCTTATCCCAATGGGATATTTAACTAGATCTAAAATGGGATATTTAAAATTGGAGCTAGATAGATATAATTATAGATATATAAAAACTCTGGTTTATCTAAGCTAGATAACATAGCAGCTATAATTTAAAAGTCTAGCATACATATTTTAGAACAATTATCCCTTAAATCGAACTGCGGGAACATTTAAACAACAAACATAATGCTTTCATGATCATAAGCCTTATAAAAACACAGTACATACCTTAGGGGTAAACATGTGGTGGATGCCATCAATTGAACCATCTAGAAGGAATGCTCTAATTAGGAAACATATAAGTACCATATATGGAAACAGAGAACTAAAATACATAATCTGTAAAGAAAGAAAAATAAAAATAGATGAGACACACTAACAACTATATTCTTTTTTATAGTTAAGATTATGTCTTCTGTTCTATACTTCATTTACTGTTTATAGTATATGACTAATAACACTATTAATTGTATTAATTGTAAAGCCATCTTATTAGAATGGCTTATGATTCTTGATTTAATATGACTTCGTTAAGTCATATTTGAGACGATATTTGAGATATACCAAAAAAAGAATACCATCCTTATTTAATCTCCTGGTAAGGGTGTGGGTTCATGGGTATGGTATAACTCGAATAATGTTGATTCCTTATAGTTCATAAAACAAGCAAAATTTAAAAGAAATGAATGGGCACTAAATCCCAAGCAAATTCCTACTTTTATTATTTTAGACATAAAAATAATTATTTTTTCCTAGTAACCAAAGTTCCATTATGTTTCCATAAAGCTTATAAAGTAGAGAGGAGTCCCTGGTAAGTCTCCAATAGAACTTCAACAAGTAACCATGTAGAGGTTTGACTTTCTGCTTCAGCAATTTCATCATTAAAGTTGAGCAAATACTTACTACAGAAAAAGAATGGTCCTAACCAGACATTTACTGCCTCCTTGACATCTCCATGTGGGAGTCAGCAGATCTCAAACTCTTCAGGTCCAAAAGGGAACTTCTGAATTTCCCCCAGAGCTGTACCCATCCATCTCAGTACGTGGCCCTCCTACTATCCATCCAGTGGCTGAAGTCAAAGGTCTGGAAGTAGTCCTGTACTACTTGTATAATTCTCCTAACTCGTTTCCAGGCCTCCCAGTAATGCCTTGGGTTAGCTCATTCCCTAATAAACACAGTCCAGGGATTTTGAATGGTTGGAATAAAATGCCAGTTCCTCCCTCTGACATGCAAAGCCTTACACTAGAGCCCTACCTGCCTATCCCACCACTCCTCTGCCACCTGAGCTTTAGCCCTGCAAACTCTTATTGTCAGGGCCAAAGCAGGGCTGTGTCCTTAGTCTGCATTCATCTCCCTCATTTGTGTATAACTCTCTTCTCTTTGTTATTTATGTCTCATCTTCATCTTCTCCAGGAAATCTTCCCACACCAAAATAAAATATGCTTTTTCCATCTAATACTCCCATCTGGCCTTCCCTATGCCCCATGAATCCTCCATGATATTATCTTGTCTTGTTTTTTTTGACAGCACTCAGCACTGCCAAAATTATGTTTTGTTTTTTACATGTTTCCTTGTTAATTTCCAGTCTCTTCTATTGGAATATAAGTTCTATGAGGGCAAAGACCTTTTATCTCCTGTTTACTACCATATCTCAAACACCTAACATAGTTGCTTGCACATAGTAGGTATATATGTCTGTGGAGGGAAAGAATGGAGGGGAAGTGGGTAGATTGGAGGAAAATCTGCCAGAGCAGAGGATGGCTTAGGGCAGGTAAGAGATACTGAATCCAATAATATTATAGACAAACAGCACATGTCAACATCATAATTTGCATTTCTATAGTTCTATCCACTTTATAATCCCATTTAAATGCATGTGAAACATCCTGAGGGAAAAAAGTAAAATAAGAATCTCAACATACTCAAAAATCAATTATTTTAATTAAAATTATATTTTATTTAATTAATTATAATAAAGCATAATTTTTTAATCATTTCAAATTGGTTTAATTCCTTGATTACTTCCATTCATCCACGTTTTTTAAAATCGGAATGACTTTAGCTGGAGTACTTTTTAAAATTCTTCTTGCCTACTTTCAGCATTCTTTAAATTTGCCAGACTACTACATGCCTACTTAAGTAGCCTTGATCTCACTTGAATTAAAGATATTCCTTTTATGATTTTTCTTTACAAATCTTGAGACTAGCCAGAAGCAAGAATTCACTTTTGCAAAGTGAGTTCTGTTTTTTCTAATGAGAACTCAAATTTTCTGACTTATGACTTATATTTCCATTAATTCCACTCATTTTTAAAGTAAAAATGAAAGCTACACTCTAAAATAGTTTGAATAGGTTGATTATCATTTTTCCAAAAAATATGACATACATTCAGTATGTTTTTTAATATATTTCAAATTGGAGACTAATGGAAGAAGTGACTCTTCCCGTACTTTTATTTGTCCAAGCTAATCACATCATTAATATATCCCTCTTCCCCATGTCCCATAACCAACTGATCAACCAATCCTATTGATTCTACCACAGAAATCTCACATCTGTCCCTTTGTTTCCATCCTGAATGACATGTCATTTTTTACTCTTATAAATTTCCTGGTAACCTCGACTCCAGATTCTCCCTGCCAGCTTTCCCCTTCATCCCTGAAATTCATCATTCACGCTACCAGAACAATCTTTCTAAATTAAAGATCTAATGGTGTCAACAAACTGCCAAAAACCCTCAAATATTCAACACTGTTATCAGCCAATTATCTTACCAGTGTTCACAGATTCTTTAATAATCTGCAGTCAATTTATATTTTAAGTTTCATTTCCCAAGAGTTCCACAAATTCTATGTAAAAGTCACAAAGGGGTACTCAGCAATCTCTGGGCTTTGTACATGCTGTTTTCCATGCATCCAGTGTTCTTTCTCTGAACCTTCTGGTGAACTCCTCTACAAACACAAACTCTAGCACAAAAGTTATCTTCTCCATGAAAACTTTCCCCAAATCCATGTTATTTTCAGTTGACTGCCTTATGCTATCACAAACTTTTTACATGCCTCTCTGCACTTACTCCATTCTAAGTATCTGTCCCACCTATTAAATTTTGTCCATGAGGACAAAACTGTGGCCTATTCATCTTTGCATATCTATCAGTTCCTGACATATATTAGATACTAAAAAACACTGTACATTAAGAGAGTATATAGAAAGATAAGTTTTCCTTTCTACATACATTCTCTAAAATATAAACTAATCTTTATTCTGGAGTATTTTTTAAATTATGTACTAATTATATTTTCAGACTCATTTCCATTTTTATTTGTTAATTCAACAAATATTTGAGTTCTTAAAGACATTGATCTGGATTCAGTTATAAGACTCTAGCACAGCTTCCTCAAAAGGAAAAAGATGATTTTAAATTCAATGTAACACAGAGAAAAATAAAAGTCAAAATTTTAAATACTGAAGTAGTATTAAGTAGGTCACATCCTAAATTTATTCTTCTGTGAGTAGGTAAAAAAAAATAATTTAAATAATTATTTAAGATTTAAAATATATCTTAAGTCTGCTCTTCACAGAGGTATCTATATTGTTTTTAAATACAAGTCTTTTATATTTAATCACATTGGTCTAATCTTATTATACCAAAATAGTTGAATATTGTTATTAAAAATAGGTTAACTTCTACTTGACTATATGTAAAATGCTACACTTTCTCTTTACCACACTTTATTTTATGCACCACTACCTGAAATTATTTTACAAATTTGTTTCTTGTCTGACTCTGTCACTAGAATGGACATTCTAGGAAGACAGACATTTTGTCTGCCTTGTTCAATGCTGTCTCTCAGAACAAGATCAGTGTTTGGCACATAGCAAGTGTTCAATACATATATATTAAATGAAATGATGAATGACTACATTGTCCCGGAAGTACATGTGTTTAAGAACTGGGAAATAAAACAATGAAAACAAGCTAAGGTATATATAGTTTTTAACATAGTAACAGTAATAATGGCAAAGCAATACTAGTAGAAAAATATTGCCTTAGAATTAGAAGAAAACTTAGAGCTTCCCATTTCTGTCCTTCATGTTGGGGCGGCATCCCCTTAATAGAGGCTATAAGGAAGGGACATGCAACCTCTATTTGATCACTTCCAATAATGCTGAGCTCTCTCTCACTGAGACAACTAGTTTTATTGTTATGAGGCTTTATTCCTGAAAGGACTTCCTTTTATTTAAAGTTTTATCACCACCCCACCACTCTCCATACTCCCCAATATTTGACCATAGTTCTGTTCTCTGTAGCCACACAGAATAAGCCTTTTTCTTTTTATTCAACTACTTGAAGATTGTGATCACAGGGCTGAAATTTTTCTTTTCAGTAATAAAAGAGAAAATAAAGATTTCAGTAAAATCTAGTATTACAGGCATGGTTCAACTGAGGTATGACAACCTGACCCAGAGGAAAATGACACTCTCATACTCCTCTTTTAATTCATGAAGTTGCCAATTAGCATTTTGAGGGCTGTGTGTGTGTGTGTGTGTGTGTGTGTGTGTGTGTGTGTGTTGGCCAAGTATATCACAAGTTGACTCATATCCTTCTTTTAGCTTCTAAGTCCTCAGGTTTTTTTCATATACTACCCTTAAACCATATTGCTAAGTCCTCAGGTTTTTTTTCATACACTACCCTTAAACCATACACTACCCTTAAATCACATTTCTCTATAACTGTACTTGTGTGATTATTTATATGGAGGCTTTTATTGCTTGGCAGGAAAATAGAGAGCTTTATATTTATTCCTAATACACTTTTTCTTATACTTAGCTCATTGTTTCAGACTGAGGAATTGTGACAGTTTAGACTTTTATATCTTTGCTCACATTACTTACAGCTTTCTCCCATCTGTGTCTACTGAATTCTTTCATCAAATTTTGCCCAAAAGCCACTGAAGTTTTCTCATTGAAATAAGTTGTATTTAGTATTTAACTTATATTATACTAAGAAAAACAACCCCAAAATTCTGTGATAAGAAAAGGATGAATATTTCTTTAAATGATAAACATATGCAGACTAAGAAGGAACGAAATGTGGCAATAAGACTAGAGCACAAGGATGTGTGGACTTCTCTGGCTGATCACATTTGGTTCTCTTTATATCAAATGATATTATGTTAGAAAGCATATAGAGGTGTTTATATGTAACTCGAGAATCTATTCTTTTATTTATAACCCAATTGTAACGTGTCTCTGACATAGAGCCAATTAATTGAACTTACTTAATCATACAAAACTTTAACATTCAGAAAAGATTGAAAAGATGTTCAGATGTGTTATCTACCATAGTCATTTCTTCGAAAGAAAAAAATGATGTAGCAGTTCCAGCAGGAAGGTAAATGTAAAATTACCTGTGATTTACAAGTTAAAAAATCATAAAACATTTTAAATTAAACATGAAGTAAAAGAAAGCAAAGATGAATTAGACTCTGACTTAAAAGAGTTAACTATTTGGGGAGACATTATAGTGTTGCAATGAAATAACATGGGCTCTAGATTTAGATAGAGCTAGGTTTGGCTCCAGGTACCAGCAATTACTAGCCATGACACTTTGGGCAAGTTACCTAACTTCTTGAACTTGTTTTATATCTGTAAAACAGGTCTGGGAGTAGTAATTACTTCTTGAGTTCTCTTTAGAATTAAATGGGATGAAGTATATAAAGTACATATCACAATGCCTAGAGCAAAATAAACGTAATAAATATTGGCTCTTTTTCTTCTTGCTCTGATTATTGTCAGGACGATCTTCACCATCATCGTTACTACACTACTATTCCTACTTCTATTAGTATATGATGGTGAGTGGTAATATATTAGCCTAGAAAGATATATAATCAGATCTATGCTTCGGAAAGAAAAAAAAAATAGTAGAGATGGATTGTTAAAAAGCAGGGATAAGAACCAATAATAAATTCTTGTTATAGTCCAGCCAAAAGATGTAGAAAGCATTAAAACAATGACAATAATTATGAAAAAATGGAATATGAGAGCAAAAGACAGAATAGCAATTACTTTCTTAATGTATTCTTAAAAAAAAAAATCAAGGTTTCTAGAATTCTTTTAACTACAGCCTTTTAAAATTTTTAATTTGGCCTGGCAGGCATGCTCTTTCGTCTCTTACATTACTCTGAGTTCCTTGTTGAGATTACTGTAACTACCTAATGATGTTCAGATATTTAAGAAACATTCCACACTAGAGACTATATTAAAATCTTTTTTGCAACTATTCCTTAGAACACTTATATTATAGAAAAATTAATGATTAAAATAAAAAACAAATAAGCTTCATTCTACCACTTTCCCCAATTTCCATGATTGGAACTAATTGGTAATCAGAGAACTAAAACATTAGGGTCAACTGAATAAATAGCAAAAGAAAACAAAAGGACTTTTAGGTATTGACAAAAATTTCAAAGAAGATCTTGATAAAAGAAAGAATTATAAATGGCTTTCAATTTCACTATTAAATATTTATATATTTCTTTTCCTTAAACACATTTTTAAAAACATATCTTTTTACCAATCTTTAATTAACTACCTAGAATAAAATGTTTCTTGCAATTTGCCCACAGAGATTTATACCAAAGGGTGAGGGGGATTATCATCACTACCAAGGAATGATGATTAACAGAATTAGGAGAGGCTCTAACATACTAACTTTTCCAGAAGACTGAATGCCTTTGAACATAGCCAAGCAAACCATGACCCAGGCAGCCAACAAGCAGACGGTCATCTTCCAGTTTAAGCCCCCATTCTCAGAAATGGAACTGGAAATATTCAGTGCTTCTCTGTACCAGTAATATGTGGTGGCAGAACTTTTTTCACATTCTGGCTCTACAACTGTAAAAAGAAAGGTAACACAATCATTTCAAATTATAAAGAGTAATGAGACAATTTTTCATTACAGTAAATCTGTAAATTAGTTCTTAATATTTCCTAGAAAAGTATTACTATTCTACAGAAATGTTTAAAGTCACAATAAAAACCCAACTTCAAAAATATAAAATATCAACAGACAGATATCTTCATTGATATTTCTTATTACATGTTTCTAAATAGGGATAAGTGAGCTTTCCTCAAAGTAATTAAAACAAAATTTATAATCCCTTCCAGTCCTAGAATTATCTTCCTGAGATAAAGCTGTCAAATATGCTAGCTGCTGGCCATATGTGCTTTTGAAATGGAGCTCGTCCAAAGTGACATGTGCTGTAAATATAAAATACAAAGGCAATTTTGGAAAATTAATATGAGAAAAATAATGCAAATTATTAATAAATTTTACATTAATTATATGTTGTAATGTTAATATTTTAGCTAGACTGGATTAAAATATTTCACCTATTTCTTTTTACTTTTTTACATGTGGTTACTAGAAAATTTTAGACTACATATGTGAGTTGCATTCTGTATTTACTGGACAGCACTGCTATAAGGAACTGTTCTTTATATTCTAGCATATAAAAATAAATGATAGAAAAACTATGAAACAGCACAATCGAAGACATAAAAACAATTACTTCAATCCAAATTCTTCTTTTTGTCCTTTATTTTAATGAAAATGTAAGGCATTAAGAAAGGTGTACAAAATAAAAGACTGTCAAAGTTAACAACTGAAAGCTTATAATATTTCACCTTAATGTCATAGGGCATGATGAAATAACTTGGGAAGGGGAGTACAGTCAATAATATTGTGACAAGTTTGCACGATGACAGATGATTATTAGAATTAGTGGGATGATATCATTGTAAGGTATAAAAATGTCAAATCACTATATTGTATACCTGAAACTAATATAACTTAATAACTTGGGAAGAGCTAGTAAAATTAGAGGATGCCAAAGGTCTATCCCCTTGAGTATGCCGATCCTAAACATGAGGGAAAGGTTGTTATGATAATAATTTTGAAAGATTTTCCCACATAATTTTTTAAAAATCTTGAAATCTCATGCCTTTATTGACTTTAGGTTCTTTAAATATAAAAACATGACACTGTCCATGTCTTACAAGTGTATGAAGCATTTTTCACCAACGGACACTGATCCCAAGGTAGAGGCTGTTGAAAAGACTGAGAAAAATAAAACAAACTCCAGCCAATGATGACATTGTAGTAGAGAGCCACCAAAAAGGACACCTATAAATAAAACAATACAATTAAATTAAACCTCTCATGCCCCTTCCTTTGAAACAATGAGATGATATGTTTAAGATCCCATTTGACAATTTAAAAATCCTCCTCATTTTATTTCCATTTGAAATACATGATCTATTCTAAAAAGATGTTTTTGACAGGTCCTAAAAACATGCATTAACAAGATTGAACTATATTAACATGTACAGTTTGTTTTGTATATTAGTACAAGCTCTGGTAGTGTTTTTTTTTGTTTTTTTTGTTTTTTTTTTTTTAACGTGATTAAATAACCGAGTAGAAATAAACACTCAGAAATTTCATTCAAACGCAAACTACGTAATTACAAAACATAAAAATTATATGGCATATACCATATCAGGAAACTTACTACACAACTTGCAAATCCAATCCCACCCAGTTTAGGGCTTATGTAATTCCATACACCAATGCTTCCTTGTCGAAATCTTTGGCCCAAAGAAAGTTCCAGGAAAAAAAGGGGAATACCTATTACCAGAAGCAGTATTAAATATAACAAAAGATATGCACCTACAGAGACAAAAACAAAACAAAACAAAGATTATATTTTCAATAGTCACAGTAGAGAATATACTAATTCTGATTATCTCATGGAAGATATTTTAACTTCTACATAGTATAATTATAAAGGACTTTAAACAAATGCAATTTCATTATTTTAAACTTTCTAGTGTTTGAAACCCGAATTTGACTGCTACGAAGAGTTTCTGATAAAAAAAATAATTATAATAAAAAAAGAATATCAATGAAAAGTTCCCATTTCATTTTATTAAAAGGGTAAACAATTTCATTTTTCATTAAAAAATTATTGATTCCTTAAAATGATTTTTCAAGTAGGTTTCACAAACTCCTGGAAATCTTATTCACACAATGTTTATGAAGTCATTTATTAAATTTTATTCAAATTCATCTAAATCATGTATTCCTAATCTGATAAATTAGAATAAATTAAATTTTATGGTATTAAAACTGAATTTTTTTTTCCTAAATAAAAACAGGAGAGAAGAAATGGCTGTCTAGACTTAAAAAGGAAAAGAAGAAAAATAACTTCTACCATGGTCAAATGTCATTTTCCCCCAATATACTTCACATAAAAAGCACACTTCAGAAAACAAGTAATTTTTTGTTTTCCAGAAAACAAAAAGGGGTTGTGAGATTGACTGAGAAACTAAGATATTTAATATCTATTGTAAAATATATGCACTATTATTCTTGTAGTAAAGTTTCAGTGCTTAAAAGAATTATTATTTTACAGCTAAATTTCAAATTAAGATATATGAATAGTGATTTAAAAATGCACTGAATAGTTTGACAATGTTAATATTAAACTCTATGAATTGATACAGTTAAATATGAAACAGGTACTCATTTCTATATGAGAATATGTATACAAATTATTCATTAAATAACCTCTAAGATGATTTCCTACATTCAAATATCTTATCTAAAGTTTTGTCAAACCAGATACTACCCAATGTGTCATGTAATTGATGCTACTAATTCCCTTTTTAAATGAGGCCATTCATTATTATTTTCCCATTAAAAAAATGTTTAATGCTATTGAATAGATTTTGGAAGCTATTCAAATTGTTCTGGTAGTTATCCTACTGAAGAAGTAAATATTAATGATTCTTTTCAACTTATTTATCTCAGTATCTACCTATCTCTGAAATAATAACCATATATAAGAATTTTCTCTAATATAGTGGTCAGTAGAAAATCTTCACTGTTTTATGACTGTCTTTCAGTCTTTCGGACTTGAGTTGATTCTACAAAGGGGTATGTACTATAAAGCATGGATGAGTGAGCTTATAAAACAGAATTACCAAATTTCTAACTCTAAAATTATTGGTAACAAGCAGGCACTAATGACCTGAAAATGTTTCCCAAAGAACTGAAACTGCATTTTAACAATTGCATCAAATTCTAGAATATGAATGGAGTTATGTATGTGTAAATGACTAGGAAAAAAAAAAAAGAGAGAGAGAGACAGAGAATTAATTAAGATTGGACTTACTAGGATTCTTCCCTCATTTACGTGTCTGACATGCTATTTTTAGATACTTAGCCTTTCTTCTAACTCAAATTACTCTAATTTTTAAATCTATATTAAAAATAAGCATAGCTAAAATATAATTGATCATTTACTATTTGCCAGGAACATTTCTGAGCATGTTACACGTTACTCATTTACTCCTCACAAGAATCTAATGGAGGTATCATTATTATCTTCATTTTACAGGGGCGGGAAGTAAGCCAGAAGTTAAACTGTGAAAGGTTACACGGCTAGTGTAAGAAAGAACCAGGCTTCATAGTCAAATTGACTTCAAAACCTGAGCTTGTAACTTCTGTATATGCTCCTTATTAAGCTTAACCATTGTGCTTTAAGTATAATATCTTCAGACGAATCAACTTACATTGAGTCTATTACTTTTTAGTTCTATTAAAGTGCCTCAAGTAACAAATGAATAATATTTAAGTATCTTGAGGTGGTTGATCTAAATTGCCAGAAGATACTACTCAAATACCTAGAAGGCTCAATGCTATTCTGCATGTTGAGTACAACTTTTTGTATCTTGAAACGATAAACTACATTGGTATATTTTATAATATTGCTATCAAGTATGTGATTAGAAGAGAGGAAACAATCCTAGAAAGGGCATTTTTACTCCTTTAACAAATTAAAATTAGAATAAGCCATTTTTACCAATAAATAATTACTAAATACAAAATTATTTAGCACTTTCCACCAAGACAAAAATTGTATTAAATGAAAGGCAACCTAACTTTTCAGCCAAGACAAGCCTTCTTCTTTAACAGTACAGTACATCCAGTAAGGTTCATAAGGTGAAAGGTTCCAAAAATCAGAGTTCATCTTTTGCCAGTCCTGGCAAATGCGATAATTTGTATAAATCAAAAAGCAGAGTAGTACACAGCCACTTATAGTGGATTTAATAAATAATTCATATGTGATGTTACTAACGAGCTAAGAAGCTTACAATTTTAGTGGAGTGATATGGAGTGCACCACCGACTTCGTGTATTGATTCTTACTTCTCAGGAAGATTTTTCAAACAGGCTACTTTTTCCAAACCTGTTATTTTGTGGCTAGTTGAATTAATTAAGCAAGATCTTAAACATATTTTATCACCATAATACTTTAGCTTTTTATTTCTTAGGGGCTAAGAAAAAATTTAACATATGGTTATATTATTTAATTTGATTTGTAGATTATAATAACATCAAAATAAAACCTAATTTTTGGCCAGTCAATAAAACTATCACAAACTGGAATAAAATACCGAAACATTCTTTCTCTCTTTTGTAGACTGAAATGAGGCGTAGAGAATATTTAGTTATTAACCACACTTATTTTAACAGCTTCCATGTACATAAACAATAAAGTTTCAACCCAAATGTTAGTTAATACTGTTTGACACCAGCGTACTATAGAGCTTGAGTCGTACATGAACAATCTATTCCTTTGTATGTGTTTTTTTCCTTGATTTTTAAGACAATGTTGGTAATTATATACATAAAGACAAAAAGCTAGAATATCATGTTGATACAGAAATTTTTGTTTAAAACTAAGAATGTTAATTGCTTCAAAGTTTTCTTTGAAACAAAATGTTTTTCCCAAATGCTGTAGAACTGGAAACAAAATACATATGATATCTAAGGATGAAGAATGTCTGGCGTTGTATTAATTATCTGGTTAAATCCCTTCTCCTGGGATCTATAAAGTTCTGGTCAGCATCTGAAGACTATAATCATTCTAAATTATATGTAATTTTTGTTTTCCTTGAAGAGTAAAACAACTTAAAATTCAGAGTTAATAAGTCATACAGAGAAAATTCTGTCTTCCTTCACCAATGTTGTCTTATACCAGAAACTTTGGGTTTTTCTCCAAAGAGAATAACTGACAGGCACAAGGGATGCAATATTTGTTAGAAAAGTCGGTAACTTAGAGATGCTTAATAGCATCCACACAAAGACTTTGAGAATTCATTACTCTTAAAACAATCCGTGAGTGTTCATAGCAAGCCATCTGCTCTTACTGGAAACCTAATCTGAAAACAGAGCTGAGCTCATTTTCAACAAAGGAGTCTCCCTAGCTTTATAATGGAATTCATAGTTTCTAAAATAATGAGACTCCAGCAACAACAGCAGCTATTTGAGATAATCAACTGCAATTTACTCAGCAATGTGTCACTTTAAAAAAGAAGACAACTTACCACCCCCATTCTTCTGACATGTGTATGGGAATCGCCACACATTCCCCAAACCTACAGAAAATCCAACTTGGGCCAGAATGTATTGCATCTTATTTTTCCAAGCTGGTCTTTCATCTTCGACCTCAGATCCTTCTTCAGCATCTGTATCTTTCTCTTCTTGGACATCAACAATTAGTTCACTTTTCTTAAAAGCATCATCAGCTGAGTCTTCATTGGAAAGAAGGTCTTTGACAGATTCAATAACCTCATCGTCTAATTCTCTTTTTACCACCTTGCTGTTCTTAGGCATTGGAAAGTGCAGGTAGTATTGTTTGTTTGTTTTTTAATTCTCCTATGGAAAATTTAATTCTTTCAAAAAATTATTTTAGTTGACATGAAGAAAAGATGGAGGAGGATATCAAATAAATCCTTGACTCAAAGTGATAAAGTCAGGGATCCTGGATCTGTGCGTCCAATATTCTGTAGATATCTGTAAAATTTTAAGTTGAAAAACAATAATATTTAATAAGGAAAAATATTTAAAATACTGAAGACCCTTTCTTATTAATTTTTTATGATGGAACCTCTTTCTGCAGAATATAAAACATATGATCGTTGGATATGTTGTTTTAATATATCGACAAGCGTAAAAATTGTAAAGTACACATGAGCTTCACACACATTTTTTTAGTTAACTTCTTCCTTTTTGCAAAACTCCACTTTGATCTCAGACGTACTCAATGAATTAGTCCATTAGTAACTAAAATTTATGACTTTTTAAATTTATTTTCTTTTTTTCCTGATGGAAATACAGCCCTCATTTTATTACTTATGGAATTACACACACAGTTGCATGCCATCCTTGTAAATTTATCTTATACAGAATCTCTTCTGTTCATGTATTCATTTATTCACTAATTTAATATTAATAGTGATGAGACTTCAAGGGATAAAAACATTAATGAACCATACAACATCTACTTTTAAGGTGCTTATATCTAAGAGAGAAAGGCATACCTCAAATAACTATACTATATTGTATAATTTAAATGACCCAACATCATAACAATATGAGAGATCAGAAATGTTGGATAAAAGTGATATTAGAGTTGAGCAGAAATATAGTGAGACCACACCAAACATAAGGAACAGCATGAAAAGTAATGTGGTAGTAAGTGGTTAAGAACACTTGATATTTACGTGAATATTCTCTCGAACAACTCAAGAAAACACAGCCATCACTTTGGTATTTTTTCTTTCTCTAGTTCTTTTGTGTTACATCTCATATCTTTTTCTCTATTCAGACACAGGTCACATAAGTGTACAAGGCATGTCTACAGACCAATAAGACCGTCAGTTTTAAAAAGTGACTAAACATGAGTACTACCTTTCAAAGCTGGATCAGGAGACGTTAGAAATGATATCCCAAGAATTCTGTCATTTGTTACTAAAAAAATAAAATTCTTTGATGGACCTGCTGCTACAATTACATTGAAAGTAGAGAAACAGCCTATCTTACTTTAATTTATAATCTTAATGAGACAGGGTGCTGGGTAACTTAATGAAAAGAAAATATTTAACTTGACCATGTAACTTATATTCTGCCTTTAGGTTTTGGTGGTATTTAGTTGTTTCCAGAATCAGAATATATATCCTAATAGCAAACACTCATTCACAATTCAGTGAGATTAAGAAGAAGACTATGAAGGAAATTGTAAAAGAGAAACATTCTCAATATGTTTTGAATAATAGACACATTTCTAAAATAAGTACAAAAATTCTCATGGTGACTACTTTAAAAAGGCCAACAAGGTTTTGATATGGGAATAGTTTCATGAGGTTTAGGATTGTATCTGTTCAATTTCAATTATTTTTCCTCTAGAACTAAATTAATCAGTAAATATTAATTGACTAAATGAATAAATTCAACCACTGAAAAATTGAAATAAGCTAATTTTCCAAATAATTTTTGCTGGATGAAAACGATCTTACACATAAGAAATTGATATTTGAGAGGCATGAATTATCTAAAGGTCTACATTTATTGAATTATCTAAAGATAAACTGTTGGCATAGTAACTTAACTGATACATATATAGGCACATTAGTTTTAATCTGACAAACTTGGAATTGTATCCTCACTCTTGTACATATTAGTTGTATAACTCCTAGTAGTTATATCACTCTTAGGTTTAGTTTCTTTAGTAAACATTAGCCTGCAGATATTTTTCTTTTTTCTATATAAAAAGAAAGCTAAGGAATGTATCCAAGTTTAGAGATAGTTTACAGTAAAAACACCTACCATTTCATAAAGAAAAAATTTAAAAGACAGTGTTACTCATGAACTTCCCTCAAATTAATTATCTCGGAAGTTGTATTTCTCTATACATGTCTAGTTTTTGCAGGAAAAAATATATAAACAAAAAAATAAAAATGAAAAATAACACCTTTGGACACTATTGCTTTTTTTTTACATATCCAATAAATAATACCGATTTACATAGAATAACTTTTGGTAAAGTTTACATTTAAAAATTCCTATCAGACTACCCAAAGTTCATATTTTCTATACAAAAAATCAACATCTAATGTAAACAAAATTTAAATGCAACTTTATATTATAAATGCCTAAAATATACATTACTATATATAGATTGTAAAATGCAATAATCCTAGGCAATCTTTATAAAGTTAAAATTAAAAAGGGATGTTAAATATGTATTTGCATGCATTTAGAGTTCCTTCTCTATTATAAGCAAAAAAAAGAAAATGTTTGTAGATTAATGGTATCACAAGTAAAATAATTTAAGCTCTCTTTTCTCTTTGTTTCTTACACATTTACCTCCTGCTTTTGCCTGGAGTGGCTGTAGAAAAATATAGAATGGGGTTGTAGTTAACATTGAAACTTCCATAAAAATTTTAAGTCTGAGGGGGATGGGAGAAAGTATTTCTTTTCCTCACTAGACCATAAACTCTGCCTGAAGAATAATTTTGTCTTACTCATCTAACATTCTCACTGTATGTTTAAACTTGTTTGTCAGGTAAATGAACTAAAAGAAATATGACAGAATAATACTATATGATAACTATGAGAATTTTGACTATTACACATTTTGATTTGTTTTTTTTTTTTTTTTTTTTACCCCAAGGCCTTATGCTTACTAAGTCAGAGACATTCCTTTCTTCTATAGAGGATGCATATGGCCAAAAGTAAAGATATGAGTTTCTGAATGAATTTGTAAGCACTTAGTATGAGACAACAATTTGTAAGTTTAATTAATTTCAAATTTTTAAGAGCTAACTTCTTTGAAAAATATTTTTATGAATGCCAAAAGCTTTCCTGAAAAACTTAGTCCATAAGAGTAAGCCATAAACATAGGTTAAAAAGAGAATAAAAGCGAGGTTGACTACTGGCCAAAGTGTATTACTATTGCTACTTCTGGGTATAGAAGAAGAAATGAAGCAGTAATGTCCAGAAAGAAAGTAAGGTAGACAGTGATACAGTACCGATACTCTGTAGGTCACATAATCAGTATGTAGTAACTGCACAGCCTCTGCCAAGTTAGCACCATCCATTCCTGTGACAGAGTCAGCTGGGGGACAAGTTATCATCTACTGTACTTCATCTGCACCTAGAAATTATATTAGCTGCCTTCATCATTATCTGGTAACAGGCTCCTATTTACAACTGAGCAACAGATATTAAAGAGCAAGGGTCAACAAAATATTTATTGCTCATTAGTCAAATGTAAGCCATTGTCTAATTTTATAAGTAAAATTTTATTGGAACAGAGCCATGCCCACACATTTACATATTTTCTATAGCTAATTTTGTGCTGCAACAGCAGAGTCACTTTGTATGAACTAAAAAGCTTAAAATGCTGACTCTACTGAAAAAAAATTGACAACCACTGTTCCAGAGAATAAATTTGAATTAAAGGTGTAGAGTGTTCCAGCTCACTCCACCTGGGCTCCATTCATACGTCACTATTTTCGTTATCGAATAATACGACAAGATAGAACTCACCCCATTCAAAGATTAGTAATTACCACGAATAAAAGAGCTTTACATAGAAACATGGATATGGAATGCTAGTAGTTGAGAGGGGAAGAAACATAAGCAGCATACAAATGTAGAATATATATTAGGAAAGAGAGTGTTACAGAGTTTCAAAGAGATTACTTACAAAATAAATAAATAAAAAGACCTCAAAGATTCAACAAATGAAAATTAGAATTCTCCTAAAAAAAAAAAAAAAGCTCCAGGAAACATAAAGCGTTAACAGGAAAAAAAATGGTAGGTAGATGATACCAATTACAGGTAAGAAACAGAAAAATTCATTATAGGAATAAAAAATGTATTAGAAACGAGTAAAACTAAAATAAATGCTACTGCAACTACATCCAGAGAAAATGGAGGACAGACTTAAGAAAATTTTTTAAAAAATTAAAAGAGACAAATGTTTTGAAAGTAATTGTGAGGAAAAGCTAATGGAAACTTAAGTTATATAAAGATGATGCAGTAAACTTAAAATTGGTATATTCATACAAGAGAATAGAATTGAGAAAACATAAAACACTAAAAGAGAAAATAACAGGGTTTGCTTAGACTTGCATTTTCAAATAATAATAATACAGAAGGGTCAATGGTGAGAAATTACTGGAATAAGATTCCTAAGGATTTCAAGCATAAGTAGAGAAAATAAAAAAGACTCAGGATTTTCAATAACCTCTATTAAAATAGAGGAAAAAAATCTTATTCTTCAATTTTTATACTCGATTATTTTCTATTCCAACTATGAAGGCAGAGGAAAAATATTTTTATCTATAAGAGATCTAATGAATCCTACTGGGGAGGTAGAAGAAGAGACTACCTAAGAACAAATTTTAGCCAATCAAGAGAGAAAACAAAAGTAAAGATCTCTGCAACAGAGAAACCATGCTAGAGAATAGAAGTAAACATTAATTTAAACAAGAAAATAAGGTTTCAAATCTGTAGAAATTATATGAATGTCTAATCACTATGTTGTACACCTGAAACTAATTATTATATATTAACTGCAATTAAAAAATAAAAAAATATATTTAAAAAATGAAAACAATAAAATAAAACTGTGTAGCATAAATAAATAAAAGGTTTAAAAACTAAAAAAAATCTGTAGGAATTATTTTGAGGGGAAAATATATAAATTAAAATTCAGAAATAATATAACAAAATAAGTAATTAAAATGGAAGAAGATAGAAATAAAAGCATGCAAATGCCCTCTTCTTTTATAGCAGAAATCAATATAGGATGCTGTTTAAACATCAAACTCATAGTCTAAAACAGGATAATAACTTCAAGCTCTTCATGTTTTAATATAATCTTTTATTTAATTTTAATGAGATCTTATAAGATTAACATTCATTGCTGTGAAGAGACATGTAATGGTGCCAAACATACATATCTAGGTTCTAGACACAGGCTGAGTTCAAATCCTAGCTCTAT